GTTTCTGGCAATGGTAGCAGACCTTGTCCCGAGGCTTTTCCTTACTCCGCGTTTTCATGGCTTTCTCCGAAACGTCCCCTGATCGCTCCAAACGGCGCTGATGCTCGTTGAATAACTTTTGTTTCACAAGCTCCAGCGCCTGGTCTGCATCGGGTCGACTTTCCAATGCAGTAATCAGGCCCCCGTACGATTCAGGTAGACTGCGATAAATCATCGCAATCTTTAGCGGTGTTTCCAGACCTGCAGTGGCTAGGCGGTCAAAAAGCTCTTCGAGATCGTAGAGATGTTTCTCGATGTCTCCTCCCTCAGTCATGTTGAGGCTGCAAATTCGGCGAAGCAATGCCACCCGCGACGTCATTGTCGCCTTTTCATGGAAATCCCGTAGAACTTTCCACACCTCCGCTGCTGTAACCGCATCGCGAACCAAATTCAGCTGACTATCTTCAACGTACAGAACGATAGTAGCTAGCACTTTCTGGCCCGATTTCGTCCAGACAGCGGTCACCGGCTCAGGTTTTGCTAGAGTCGGTGTATAATGTGTCACGCCAAGAGTGAAGCCAAGTCTACCTATCGAACTGTCAAACCAGCTACCTATCGTGCAAAGTAAACAAACATTACGATGCTATGAAAGGTCCACGAAAGGTATTGCAATAAAATATAAAATATTATCGAAGAAATGATAATAAACACGCAGTGAGCAAAATTGTCATGGGATACGTTTGGTAATGATCAGTAATGAGAATTTCTACTAATTTTTGTTAAGATAATTTGACAAAATCACTGATATTATTGTTTACTACAGCCGCTATTATTTTTTCTCGCTAGAAGTCATTTGAAGTTGATGTAGAAGTCCTCTGTTGCCAAGTTAAAAGAAAGGGAATCTTTCAAAAACCGTGATGCGAGTTCAACTTTTTTCTCTTGGCGTGACTCATTATACATCGACTCTAGGGCTTTGCATCTGACACAACCGACCACAAATCTTCGTGCTTCAGGAGCATCTCCATGCGCTTTTTCCAGACATTATAGTTCTGGTTATTCAACCGTGCGAAAAATATTTATCGCTCATTTTTCTCAGTTTTTCGTACACCCGCGATCAATCAAAACATTCGCAAAGTCGGTTTCACTACTGCGTAACCGCACCAGCGACGTTTGGCTCACAATCAAACTTGTTTTGACTTGTTCGCACTCGCGCGATGACGAAACGCACAATCCGACTGCTGCTAGTTAGGGGCTGTTCATAAACTACGTAGACAGTTTAAGGGGGGGAGGGTTGACAATTATCCACGGCCCATACAAATTTTAAAACATTTGTATGGACAATTGTCTACCGATAACGGACGGAATTAAATCCTGCGAACCAGCGATAACGACAAAATAAAAGAACAGTCGTACCGACTACTAGAAACTTGTTTAATTACCGGACTGTTTACATGGGGCTGTCCATAAACTACGTAGACATTTTAGGGGGGGGGGGGGTTGACAATTATCCACGGCCCATACAAATTTTAAAAATTTTGCATGGACAATTGTCTACGCAGGGGGAGGGCCCCCCCCCGGTCAAGAATCCCAAAAAAAACTGTCTACGTAGTTTATGAACAGGCCCCATGAAATGAAAAGAAATTCAGAAAAGAAAACAAACATAAAAAAAAATTAAAAAGCGTTCAAAGCTCAAATCACTATGTATTTTATCATAGGATACGATTTTAAATATATGAAAGTTAATTTCAGAAATCTAAAAAAAATAACAACATCGGCAACACAATCGTATCTTTTGAACCATATTTCCAAATCATTTAATTTTTGAAACACATCCAGTGGATGGTTTTTATAATAACTGGCAAATAAAATCAGGTCAATATCTTGAAAAACAACAAAAGCCGAGCGGTATAAAAAATAGCCATTTTTTGATAATTTAGATACCTTCCGATAATCTTCTCCCATACTGTAGTTTAAATAACATGAATCAAATGTGTGTACATGTATTGAATCCGAAATGAAAAAAACCTTTATATTGGTGGGCCAAGGACACAAATTTAACACTTGTTTGGTTGTGGAGTAATCCTTATTCAAAGATATGATTTTAAAAAATCTCAAAAACCCAGGGTTGTAGCCTAAAGGGTCCGGAGTACTTTAGAGCAAAATCCAGAAAGGCGTTTTCTTAGAATGTCGAATCTGGGCAAAGTTTGGTTGAAATCGGTGACATTGACCACAACTCTGTACACACTTGAGCTGGAATGACCCATATATATTCTTCTGACATTTCTACATGAGTACAGTGCAAGTGAATGTAATATCTTCTAATAGAGCCAATCTACATTACTGCATGATAAGTATATGATTTTATTCATCTATGAGTCATTAGACTGGCCCACATTTAATTGGGGAATTTTTTTTCAACAGGCCAACCCCTAGATGTGTGCTCTCTGAAAAATTCAGCTCATTCGGATGTAACACGAGCTGGCGCTTTTGATTTTAAATTTATATGGGGATAATTGGTTGATTTGTATGGAGAAAAAACATTCCCTCACTCTTAAACTTCTCTCTTCCCTCAATAAAACTAACTGAATTCATGATGCAATCTTCAACAAAGTTGTTACTTATTAATTGAACTACAAGTTTTGAAAAACTGAATCAAATCGACAATAAGGAAACTTTTTTATGTTCGATAGAGTGTAGGTGTGTCATTTTTTTCATGTATTTTATCCAAATTCTCCATACAAAAGTCAAACTAAAAGCGCCAGCTCATCTTACAACCAAATGAGCTAAAACTTTCAGAGAATGGTTTTCTCACCTTAAGGCACAAATCTAGGGGGTGGTTTGTGGAAAATTAGAACTTTTATTTTTGTGGGCCAGTCTAATGAGTCATTGACCTACGAATAGACCAACAAAAATGTACAAAACTTCAGTACGCCTTTGTTCACAAACCAACAGACGAACGTTCTAGTCACTGATTCGTCACTTACTCTAAAAATAGAATAATAGAATAACAAATCATCTTTCAGGAATATACGGCCTTCAACGTTCATTACGGTTTGAAAACCTACTCTTTGTCTTTAGTCCTCTTTTCTCGGGTAATCGCTTTCCATGGAATTTACGTAGAATTCGGATCGCGATGTAAGACCTCCGCAGACTCCAATCCATATTGATGGAGAGTCAATTCAAAACTTAAATCCGGATTTTAGTCGATCGATCTCAGTACAGGTATATCGGATGTATTATGTCTCGGCGGCAGCTACAATAAACCAATCCTATTGGTAAAAGAGTATGTGTAACACTACACTGAAGAGCACACGTATTCGGATGGTGTCCTAGGTCTAACTCATTCGGAAAGAGTCATATAACACCATGGTGGTGTCCTAGGTCTAACTCATTCGGAGCGAGTCATATAACACCATGGTGGTGTCCTCGGACTCGTTTCACGATAATGTGGACTGGTCAACACAACGAAATCGTGTTTTGGTAGCGAAGATCAGTATTTTTGACCTAGGACAATGTCTTTGTGGAAACTTTAGCGAGTGCATGCGACATAATCATGTCAAAGAGACGGCGCACATATGCTGGTTGAACGAGGCACTCAGTACCCTCCACGTAAGTTGTTTTAGAGTCATGACTAAACCAGATAAAGATGAGCAGATGCTTTAAGGAGCTGTACCGAGACGCTGATGCTAACCCTTAGGATGACGCAAATCGAGTTGAGATGGTGATAATTAGAGGCTTAATGACACACTCCGTAATAAGTACAGATAAGCCCACCGTCATCATTGATATACTCGTTCCAATGCACGACCCAATGGCAAGGTACAGGGACACAACGCTGAAGAAATACAATTCAAAGAGACAAGAAAGAAGGTCATAGCAGTCGCAAAAGGATTAAAGGTGAACTTTAAATTCGGCGATCCAAGCGTTTCCGAACATGTTGCTACAGAAATGTAATAAAGGTTACTTCCCGCACACATTTTTTCTTGTTTATTTTGCGTTGGTCTCTGTTCCGCAAGCGAGTGCCAATCACCGACGACTCCAGTTAGGATCCCTGACTATGCAGGATTTTTAAGAGATACTTCCAAAACTGGGTACTGGTGTATGAGACAGATATGGGATAGATATCGATTAGGATCACGACGGGAGTTCCACAAGGCTCCATATTTTGTCAAGTGGTCCGGAGTTGTTGACTATGCTGATAAAGTTATCTTAACGCTAACAGGTGAGACGTGAGAAGAAGTGGAAATACTCGCATCCAAAGCAATTGAAACGGTTGGAAATTGGATGCAACAGACGAAACTACAGAGAGCCTATTACAAAACGCAAGTGACGGAATAGCAAATATGGAGTTTTGGTGGGTGAGAACCATCCGCATTAGAGCAGTTTCACGCCAAAATGACAAATCGATCTGATACGACCATCTCCCATGTGCATGAAACTTTGCATAATTGTTTGTTATGGCCATTTCAAATGACCAAATTTTAGCTTAAAAATTCAAAATGTCCGAATTTTCAAAGTTTCATGCAAATGGGAGAAGGTTGAAATTCTTTTTTTTTTTTTTGCTATTTTGCCAGGAAATGGTGCTATTGACCATGTAGTATTGCTGCTTTTGGGCATTTGCTCGAACAGTAAGGAACCCTATGGCTTTTTGAAAGTTTCTCTTCACTATAAAACAAAACAAAAAATACACACACACACACACACGCTCGTGCGCCGAGCTGATCTTAACGACTATTTACAGCTCCGGGATATTGCTTGATTTTTTTTTTTTTTGTAAAGAAGGGCCTAAAGGCCCACGCACATTAGATCCGGATCGGACGCGTTGTGGCAAAGTGACAGCTAAATCTATTGTATTACTGTCAAATTTACGTCAACGCAACGCAAACGGATCTAATGTGGGTGGCCCTTAAGAGTTGCAGTTTTATTTGTTAGAGTGTACTGAGTGTACTGATTTAAAAATCTTTGGGGCTCGAGTCCGTTAATAATACGAAAGTAATCGCTCACATTTTGCTTTACTCTAGATACTTACAAGAAGGTGCAAAAAGAGGCCTAACAGGTCAACCAATTCTTGGTGGCTTGGTGGAAAAATCACTGATAACGCACTTTGAGGTTCTTAATCTAGTTCCTGTAACAAAGCGTACTACACTTAAACATGAACCTCGCCAGGAAGCGGTTAATAGTCGCGTTGTGAATACTAGTTTAACAAAATGGCGCCGCGTGGGTTTTATATCTGGACGAAACGTACATTTGGACACTATTGTATGGCCCAGTGGTGATATTGTAGTTACAGGTACATGAATACTCATTGTACATGTATTGGCCAGCATTGATTTTTACCATTTGCAATTTAAATAGGGCTTTCTTCTAAGGCACGATCAGTATTTCGAGTGGTTGTTGCTTTGGCGCCTCCATTTGTGATGGAAACAGAGCTTGGAGATCAAAAGCAGTGTCTACGAGGACTGTCATGCTACAAGGTGTACACAACAGGCAGACATAATCTTACACAGATGTTTAATAAGATCGAAATTGAGAAAAGACGCAAAGATGTCGGTGAAGATATCGAACCTAACGAAGAAAAAATCTCAAGACAATTGTATAGGTACGTCCACATAACATTATATTATCGTTCCAGCTAAAAGCCGGAATAACCCACTAGCTACAATCGATTTTATTCTAGTTCTGTACTTTGAACTTAGTGTCGGAAATAGTGCGCTGTGTAGCGCATCATTGTGCGATTACAGCGCACTATTTCCGACACTATGTTTAACGTACAGAACGAGAGTAACGTCGATTGTCGCTAGTGGGTTATTCCGGTTTTTAAGGGGAAGTTCACCGGAAAAATAAATACGTTATGATTTTTCTAAAAATATTGAAGAAAGGTATCAAGAATCTAAAAAAATCACATTTTTTCTAATGTTTCAAAGAAAGTTCACGTGCATAATCATTTTTTTATAAATCATAATGGCGTAAAATTGGACTCAAAAAACCACGAAACATCGACTTTTCGGTTTTTTCTGAGAGTCCATTTTTTTTCATGATGAGATAGAAAAAAATAATTTATAAAAAAATAATTTTTGACAAAAATCAAAGATAGAAACTGATTTTCTTGGATTTTTGATAATTTTTCCAAATATTTTAAGAAAAATAAAAACGCACCGAAAATATTGTATTTATTTTCGGGCCGGTAAACTTCCCGTAAACTGTACCCATATTACTACATACAGTCATGATTGTAGTATCGTTGAACTCATTTAATCCAGCATGGCAATCGACGTACTTGATTAAAGGAGTACAACGGTACTTCATTCATGTCTGTCATAAGTATTATACCATCGAAAGACATACAAAACAGTCCCGACCGACATACAAAAGTAAAATTTGAGGTTCTAGCTTAAAGCAGTGCAACGGTATACTTTGTATGTTTTCCGATGGTATTAACATATGCAGGGTGATTGGATGACACACAAAAGTAATATGTATCAAACTGATGTATGAAATATTGGTAGAATGTAAAAAATAAGATACAATTTTATAGCGCACCAAAGTAAACTCCAGCGCTGAAAATAATCAATCAGATTTATAGAGATTTTTAGCCATATGGCTAGTAGACTGATGCAAAATTTGAAATTTTCGCGCCACAGTGCTCAAACGGTTCCAAATTGGGCCCTGATTAGTCTCCCAAAATTTGAACTCATTTAGTGAGAAACTGACTTGGCACAAACCATTTGAAGTTTATATGGGAATTACTATGAAGAAACCATAATTTCGGTTCATATCTATCTCAAAATTCACCAGTTCACTCTACTTTAGAAAATAATAGCTGAGCTTGTTGAAAAATATCTCAGCTACAATTTTGTTCAAGACCATTTTTCGATCAAATGTAAGGAACAAAAGTTATTAATGATTCAAGTCACTGATGTCTTATGATTATGCTCAATCAACTGTTCAACAGGCAACATTGGTGTTTATGGCGCGTAAAATAGAGGACAAAAATCATGGCTACTATGTCACACTGCAGAATACAGTGTTGCCCACAATACAGTTGCTTAATTTTGCCATAAGATAATCAATCTCTTAAACAATTAATAACTATTTAATTTGACGTTTGGCTGAAAAACGATTTTCTGCAAAGTTGTAGCTGATAAAAATTACCATAAGAATAGCAATAGCATTTGTTAACAGTACAATATGTAAAAAACGCTAAAAGACAATGAACAAAAGGTTTTGTTTTCCCATACTAATTTCCATATAAACTTCAAATAGTTTGTGCCAAGTCAGGACCCGATTTGAAACCGTTTGAACACCGTGGAGCGAAAATTTCAAATTTTGCATCTGCTTAATGGCTAGTTCATTTCTTGAATAGAACAAAAAAGTTTATAATTTGCAATGTTCTATCACCGCTAGTATGACGGTTATGATATGCAATTGTAAATTGTAGCGCTATATGAAATTAAAAATGAGGAAATTTCATATTTAATGACCTGAGCGAAACAAAATCTGAGGGATTGATTTCTGCGCAGGAGTCTACTTTGGTTACAGTTTGGTACAAAATGAGTAATACACCCATGGATGTAATGCACTTGTATGACAAACTATGCGCAACTATGAACATGAGCATTATTTGTATACAAACTATGGGCACATCCATGGTCACACTTGTATAGTTTTTGTATAGCGCACATAATTATTATACAAATAATGCTCATGTTCATAGTTTGTCATTCAAGTGTATCCGCGGCATAAATATAATCGGAATTTCTTTGTACATCATACAATGTAATATTACATAACCGATGGAGTGCCCTGTGAGCAGCAGTTTCGATGTAATATTCAACAACTTTTGTTTTGCTATGTTGCTCATGGTCAATCCTAAACAGGATGATAGAGTCCACCCTGCCTATGAATTAAACCACTTAGCGCTCTAGAACAAAATGTCAAATTTAGCTAGAAGTATACTCGATTCCCATAAAAAAGCAGTTATTATATGTTTTTTAATTAAAAAAGACCGTGTATATAACAGTTGTTACTCCGTTTCTGATAAGAACAAGTGAAATTGCACAGAGAACCACATAGATGGATCTTAGGGTAGCTTATCTATATTCAATGTGAAAATTTCACTTAATTCAAATTACACCAACCGGTGAACACTCGCGTTTATTTCAGTTACCGTGGGGACATAATTTGTGATTAGTCCCGGTCCCTTTAAAATTGTATCATTATTTATGTACGGTCCTTATATTTGAAATGACGTTTCACATTCATCTAGTGATGGCCGATTTTCATATGAATAATCGATTAATCCATTAACGAACCGAAAACCCTAATAAACGGTCACCATACACTAACGATCTTATAGATGGCACGACAATACCACATAAGGTTGGGATGATATCCCGAATTGGTGGTTAGGCGCTTCTTATGGTTATTGTTTATGCGGGAAGTAAAATATTTGTAATCGGTTATATCATACCGATATAAGCATTAACTTCTCATCATCACCGATCGTTTCAAACATGTGCTGCACTCTCATTGGTGGAAAAAATGGCAGCACAGCAACAAAAAATAATCGATTAGATGTTAATCGAGTAATTAAAAAATGGGACAACTCTGATTTTGGTGTGATTGTTTTGATAAAAAATGAGCGCAAAATTTCATCTCTACCGAGGGGGCAGCAAAACCACAAAATTACCTTGAATACGAGGGGTATTCAATGGATGAAAAGGACTGTGAAAGAGGACACTAAAATAGAAAGTTTTTCTTCCGACAGTTTCATCTTAGTATTCATCTTTGGTTACACTGAAGTCTTTTTTTGCACGGTTTTTCGTGATTTACACGGTTCTTTTTTAACGATTTCTCGAAAACGATACAACCTATCAACTTGATTCCAATCACATTATCCGTTTAAAGCTATAGGTAATCGAATGGCATACTTTAAAAAAAAATCACAATTTTTGGTGTAAACACAGAAATTTTTAAAATATGTCTATATGGACCATAGCATGCAATAATTACAAATGGTATTAAAATCCGATTTTTTAAAAACATAAGGTGATACTCTAAGGAAGCCTTAGCGTGAAACTTTAAAGGCACAAATGTCAGCTTCCACAAAACATACAAATTTGAAGTTGCTACTCCTTGTTTGCTGTGCTACTACAAACAGAGAGTAGCAATTTAAAATTTGTATGTTTTGTGGAAAACAACATTTGTGCCTTTAAAGTTTCACGCTAAGGCTTCCTTAGAGTATCACCTTAAGCATGTAAAAATCAAAATCTCGGTAGGTTTTTTTTACACATTCGTAACCACTAAACTACCGAGCCTCGTCAATCATTTCTCCCATAATAATCGAGAAAAAACTGCTAATGTTCATGCGCGGGGTTAACTAAAAATGTTTTATTTTACTGATATTACTGTAGCCTGATTTTTTTCAATCTGTTGCCAAAGCTATGCTTAAAAATGAAAAATTTGGGGTTTTAGGGCACGCTTGAATTTGTAGGGCCTCCCTTAGCTCAGTCTAGGAATTTTTCGGGTTGGAAAATTTCTCAACTTCCCTGGGCATAGAAGTATGATTGGACTTGCCACACAATTATACTAATGCAAAAATGGTACAGGCATCGAAAGCTCTCAATTAATAACTGTGGAAGTGCATCTAGAACACTAAGTTGAGAGCACGCAATAAGCTAACATACGATATGCAATAAGCTTGAAATGCGAAGAAGAAGAAGAAGATTGAATTTGTCGAAACAATGTTTGTCCGATTTAGTTGATTGTTTTGAGCTTATCAGTGAATAGCTTATACTTCTAACATAATTTGACATTAAGTTCTAGATCGCTAAGTGGTTTGGTATTGCCGCTTAGTCGGTTCAAAGGTAGGGTGGTCAGAAACATTAAAACCCTAATATCTCCGTTATAAGCAGGAATTGATACATACTGTTAATTTTTTGAACGTTTTGAGGCCCTTTTTCGGGTTGGCCATGGGCTACCAGTCACTCAGTATATTTGCCTCCCTGAATACTAAACCATTGAGTTGAAACCTAATTTTGATGCATTAATCACATTTCTCAAGCGTAAGATGTTGTTATGGGCTGTCGATGGACCTTTTGCAAAAAGTGGCGTTAGATCTGGGTTTCGAATTCGATCTATACATTGTTCAGGATGGATTATTTGGACGCAAAATCATAATCAAGGATGATTCCCAAACAACTATACCAAGAAAACAGCCAGCTAAGAGAGTAGAGTTATCAAAATTTGATGGTAAGTTTATTCGAAAACATTACTAATCAATTGATAGACTTAAACATTTACATTTATAATGTATCATAATTTAGTTGTACCATACTGTAATAATAATTTATTATGTGTTTTTAAAATAATCACCAACTAGAATAAGTAAAACCTCACAATTCACAAATTGAGTTTGGCTTCTTGTCAAATAAATTAAAAAAGTTATTAGATTTCTGTTATTGTTTTATGCATAGTTCAATCGGCTCCACAGTAGTAGTAGTACATAGCTCAATTCAATCAAATTCAAAGTTTTTTTTAATAGTAAGAGGCAAGACATCATCATAACCTTATTTTGTTATTATCATGCTCCTAGATTTTCACAAATACTGCGTTTGTAAAAATTATTGAACTTTTAAATTTTAGCTCAATCCGGTAGAAGTCTCAAACGTGGATCAAAGCTGTCACAAATTTTAGAAATCAGCTTAAACCCACCAGAAGTTTTTGAAAAGACACCATTAAAAGTTGAACGAACTTTCAAGACATCGAAAGTTCAGTGGAATGGAATCATCGGGGAATTGGTGACTGGAAGTGCTGATATATCATTCGCACCTATAAGCGTATCCAGGTAAGTAACTATATAGTTGATGAATAATAATCTGATCTATTTCATCTACATTTTCTGTAGTTTTTAACCGTGTGATCTTGGATTGTAATATAATTTTATGCTTTTTGTGTTTTCAACATGTGCGTACACACCAAATTTAAATCGCTGAACATCAGCAAAATTTTGCTGATTTTAGACTTGATGAAAGATTGTAAACGTTCCAGCAAAATAATGCTGCTGAATTTTTCAGCAATTCCAAAGTTCTGTCAAAATGACAACCTTTTACTGAAAATCAGCAATATTTCTTTACTGATCTTTCAGCAATTAAAAAAATTGACATTTGGCAGCATTTTGCTGATTAAACAATTAAATTCAGTAAATCGAATTTGTTTTCACTATGAGCTTCCAACTTCTGTAAATATACGAATAATAAAGATAAAATCGCCAGACTCCTTTCCAAGTATCGTTTATTAAATATAACCAGTGTCCGAACCAGTGTCCGAACCAGTGTCCGAACCAGTGTCCGAACCAGTGTCCTTACCTACATAATTTTATCTATTTGTAGTTTTTTTAGCTCTTCCTCCTCCTGCGCTTTGAATGGTGATGTACGAATGCAATAATACTTGCGACTGTGATGCTAACAGTTTGACAGCTGTTTTACTGGGTGTTAGTTTATGTTAGCTAATGTTTTCAGTAAATCTATCGGTTGCTGTTTTTCAGTAAAGCATTGGATTGCTGGTCATGATCCAGCAATCCGTTTTACTGATATTAAAAACTTAAATTTGGTTTGTATGCTTTTGAACTTTTGGTTCGGTTTATTGGTTCTGGTTATATATAGGATTTTTTTCAAAACTTTCCTGTGATTGCCACAAAATATATGAATTCAAAAATCAATTATCCTGGAATTCTAAGGAATTTTTTAAATTCTTCTAATAATTCAAATATTTAAAAACACAATATATTGAAGAACGCCAAAGCACTTTCTCAGAAAAAAAAACATCAATTTTTATCTGTTTTGTTACTTACTTTTGCTCATTGAACCTCATAATTCTAAAATGGAGTTATCTTAAGTAACAGTATAAATACTGAGACTTGAAATAGTTTTTTTTTTATTCAAGCTCTGGAACACGGATATTTTTTGCAGATTTTATACTTAGGATTTTTTTGAAATACTTACTTTTAGAAACTTGTAGAAATTTTCATGAATTATAAACGAAAGTAAATATTCAAGACGTCGCACAGGAGTAACAACACATTTAGAAATAACTAATTTTACACGTGACGGAATCCGTCTTTGACATGAAAGATGAGACGTAAACAAACATGTCATGTAATATTAAATGCTCCGAGACTAAAAAGTTCGTTGCTCGACAAAAAGTACGTTTGATTGAGCTAAATTTCGCGTCTGTTATGGCTCAAATTTATGTCAACATTGACGCTCGTATATATCACTCTCAGAGCACCTAGATTTCCATGAATTTTTCCAAGTGTGTAGGGCAAAAACCTGGCCAATATTATTTAATGCTGTTTTGAGTTATATTAGACATGGGCACAATGTAAAAAGAAATTATTATTGATTGTGAGTCAAATTGAAAAAAAAACACAAAATGTTTAGGTGAAAATTTGCCAAATTTGCTCTAAATGATGTAGAACATACGGTTTACAAAAGGCTAGGAAACGTCAACTAATGTGTGTATGCAACCTATGTCCATAGGTTATATGATCGAACCACGCAGAACTTGACAACTTTTTACAATGAAAAAGTACAAACATACTTAAAACGCACATCTTATTAGAAAATTATAACAAGCTAAAACATAAAAATATTAAGACCGTTATCCATCAGCTTGATATTGGATTCAAAGAATTCATTTTCTGCGAAATATTGATCATTGTATATTTTGTTTTTGCCCGGTTTTTGTTTTAGGTACTCCTCTGTGCGTCGGACATTGCATATTTTCCAAGAACCCAGAAAGTCAGGAGAATAGTTCTGAGTAGAATTCCTAGGCAATCCTGAGTAGGATTCAAAAAATAATTTCCAGGAGAATTTTGAAGAGGATTCCAAGTCAGTTCCAAAGAAAATTCTAGAAAGTAAAATTATAAACTAATTTCGGAACGATCCAGATTCAAATGTAAAATACAATATCACATTCACATGTGGGGTCTTCTCGAACGTGTAGTTCGTCTTACTTTTCCAAGGAGGCGACTTGTGCTTAGCTTCAGCTTTCAGCCGTGCCTTCAACTCCCTTGCTCTTTCCAATTGTTTTTCATTCAGCAGCGCCTTCCTCCGACTTTGTAGTAGTAAAGGGTGCCCCACATCACGGAAAAAAACGCTGTAGAAAATTACCTAGCTGACCGATCCTTTTAAAACTTTCAGACAATAAAATATAACCCATTAGTATGTTTTTGGCATATTTATTTCATTCATCTTCAATACCATAACCGTACGCTCACACCTTACGCTTAACTCAACTCAATAGGTTCTGCACAACATCTGGCTGCAGCTACTTCTGTACTTCCACTTTTTCTTCATGTCTTTTTCGATGGGCCTTAGTTCCAGTGCGTTGGGAACATTGGAACCCCCATGTCTTTGGGTACGAAAGTGACCCCGTTGGCTTCGTACCACTCCAGGACAACATTTGAAAAGTGGCACGAAGCTAGATTCAGTCAGAAGATCGTAGGGCCCTCGTCTGGCTTCAACAGAGGAAGCAGACGCTTCTGTAGACACTCTTTGAGGTATATCTCCCCGTTTACAGTCCCGGTAATCACGAACGTTGCACTCCGTTTGCCACATGAGCAGATCGCTTTGCCAAATCATGTATTTCTTGACAAAGTTTCTGCTTCCTTACTTCGTCCGGAACATCAAACTTGTGCTGGGTGGTCAAGAACAGTAGCCCCGGAAGCTGCCGGAAGTCCGCCGTGACGTAAGTCTCATCATCCATGATGAGACAAAGAGGCTTCGTCAGCATCTTGGTGTACAGTTTTCGGGTCCGTGACTTTCCCTCCGTATTTTGCCGTTCGTCACGATTTGGAGCCTTCTACACTTTGTACGTAAGCAGTCCCTCCCCACACGGTATGTTTAAAGGCGGCTTTTATTCAAAGTGAATGTACCTAAAATTTTATTTCACTAGATGATAGTTTGGGACCTCTACTTTCATAATCTATAACATTTAAAATATTTCATCGGTGAAAATTTGATTTTTGACGTAGAACTACGTCTTTGTCGACTATACTGGGGTGCAAATCAAAAAATATGTGTGGTGAAGGAGTGTTAGGTTTTGAACGCTCGTGACATTTATAGATGAAATTGAAATCCAAATACGCCAATCGATAGGATATTACATTACAAACCTGCTGAAATAAATATTTTTTCCAATTTTTCTGTAATTAAACTTTTGCAAATGTACAAATGATAATTTTATCACTGTTTTAATGAAATAAGCCTTTTTCCCAAACCCAATCATCATAAACATGATATAAATCAGCGCTGCTCTCCTGCCTCCTAGTGGCACTAGGTCCTGCAGCAAGCAGGACCAAGTCAGCTGCCAAAGGTGGATCACGGCGTGTCCACCACAATGAGGAATGAGACTTGAAAAAACGTGTATGTAAAACCCCCTCCCCCTTAACAACCTCTCTCCCTCCCCCCTTAACATAACCCGAAAAAGACATGGATCCATGACTAGATTGATTAATTACACAATGTAGAACATTAACTTCTTTTTAACTCCATCAATTACAGTCGAAATTTCGTAATTAAAGAACATTAATTACATTTTCAATACTTTTACATTAATTACGGATAGATAATTTAAATAACCGTCAGTACAACTTAAAAACGCATTAATTACTTTAAGTACTTTTGATTGCATTTTAACTTCAACGTTCTTTGTACTGCGTGCCCCTCGACTTTTACACACCTAGTCGTTATCTTATTTAGAACAAGGAATTTATTTTCTGGAAAATCGTACAGAACAAACTATGCAATAAAAAATAGCCCAATCAATGAAATGATGCGCCTGTATAATTTGCGTTGCGGAACTATTGACATCATTATGTCCAAGCAGCAAATAAAAACTAAGCTACACTCAAAAAATTTATCACATATCTAATGGATGAAATCCATGTGAATTTCACATAGCTTTTCTGTGATCACATAGCAGCAAATCCCACCACAAAATCACATGAATATTATGAGGTCGATGAAATTCATATGAAAAATCACATACAATTAATGTGATTGCATAAAGGTTATGTGTAATTCAGATGAATTCCATTAATTTTGATTATGGATGAAAATCATGTGCGTTTCCAATGGAAGGTACATGAAAACTTTTTTCGGTGTACAACAGAATAGAGTTAATGCATAGTAGGGTAGAGAACTACTTCGACCTAAGTGCCCATATTGGGCCTATCAAGCAGAAAACATCCAATACATCAATTATCTCGGCGTTAACAGGTAAATTATGCGTTTTGTACTATACTTTAGTTCAAATGGTACCGAACAAAGTCAATAAGAACGTGTGATATGAATGTTTGTACCCAATATTCTCAAATACAAATGAAGCGCTCCGACTGAATCGATCTTTGCCTTCATCCGATAGGCCGAAGTGATTTCATTGGCGTTTCAATGCGTTAGGCCGAGTTTAGAATCCGTAGGCCGAGTTTGGCGTCAAGAAACAGTGTTAGACTTTTAACAATATCTCAACAATATTTTTCACTTTATCAAATCTTACGGTACGTACGGAAAGGTAAATACATTTGGAAGCCATCAGTAATAATAACTTTCCGTTTGGCGCTAAGCTGCGCTAGATCAAGAAAGACTATGTGCGGGTTGTGATTAATAGGCCGGAAATGGGGTAGTTAACCTATGTAAGTAAACATTGTAATAATCATTGTGTAGACTACCACTGGCTTGACGAAATGAATTAATAAATAATAATGTTTTTTTTTAACAATTTTGGAACTAGCCAACTGGTTCCAGAGATATGACCGGAACATGATCGGGTTTTTATGGGCTGTGA